GGGGGGGGGGGGGGTGCCAAGCACAGGATCCGCCCCGGGTGCCAAATGCTCTAGGTACGCCCCTGTCCAGCAATATCCCAACAGCAATCCCAATAACTGGACGACACACAGCATCAGGAGCAGAACTAAAAACCTTTATTTCACAGTGGCCTTATAAAGCATGCTCCCATGCAAGGGAGGTATTTTCATTAATTACTACAGTATCCAATCCGGCAGTAGTAACCTCCCACAGATCTCCTCCCCCTCAGCCTGACTCATAATCCCCTTATACTGTACACAAATTCCCCCAGTTTCTGGGTGTACCCAGAAACATCCCCTGGTAGCCCTGATCTGGGTGAGCAACATATCCAAAAATCACCCAGATCGGACCAGGGGTTCGGGAAATTCATGGAGGTACTAAAAAGACAGTATAAGGGAATAAATGGCACGAAAGGCTAAGGCTACAGAGATCAGGTAGGGTTGGCATGAATCCCCTCGTTCGGTTGTTTCTGTCTACCGAACGAGGGGCCGTTCTGTAGTTTGGAACCGAACGGACCGGGCTTGTGGAGGTCTCAGCGGTGTTCGCCTAGTCGAGTGTCCGATTTGGGTTCCAGACACTCGACGGCAAAACACCGCTGTTCAGGAGTTTTAAAATGGCAGCCGCCACGTGTTCATTTCCCGAATGGCGGCCACCCCGAGAACAAAGGACCTACTGCATAGCTTGTTAATTACCCATTCGCAACATTGTTGCAATGGGTAATTGAAGGCACACTTCACACAGGGGAGGTCTGACTGTTCAGTAGTTTCATTCCCTTAGTTTGTTCGAATGATTCTACCGAACAATCAGACGAATACACGTTATTTGGACACATAAACACCAGCAATTTACCCGAATACAGTTATACACATGCAATTTTCAGGACAGCCCAGTGCCATCTGCTACAATTATATTGCAGGTTTCAATTATAAATTGCCTTTAGAGAAATCATTTAGTAACAAAGAAAACAACACCACAAAGTTAAAAATGATCGCGAAAGGTGTGTCGACTTCTAAATACTACGGAAGGAGGAACGTTTCTACACAAACACGAAATATAATTATAAAAAGAGATGTATCCACAAATACAATTGGTTTGAGTAAGAAAAGTGATGCCTGGACTTGGACTAGTGCTACAGAACAATCAGCAAAATACATTGACGATTCATCCAACACTGCGATTGTACAGCAAACAAATGCTGTCAAACAGGGTTCCACTATGCCAGCTGATACGCCAATGGAAACAGACATACTCTTATCACCAAGTTCACAACAGTCAATTCAGGTAGAAAATATAGATATTCCATTCTCTAACATATCAACAATTAACAGAGTATCAGAAATAGATTCAACTCTGAATATATCAAAAATTTAGAATATCATGCAAAAGTTCATATATTTCAATAATGCAACGTAAAAGGGGAAACTAATATATGAGATAGACGCATTACATGCAAAGTAAGATCGTTCAAGTCGTGATTTGTCATAAGTGCAATGATTATGGCTTACAGCTCATGAAAACCCCAAATCCACAATCTCAGTAAATTAGAATATTACATACAATCAATAAAACAAGGAGTGTACATAGAACAATATCGGACCTCTGAAAAGTATAAGTATGCATATGAACTCAGTACTTGGTTTGGGCCCCTCTTGCAGCAATGACTGCCTCAATGCAGCATGGCATGGAAGCTATCAGCCTGTGGCACTGCTGAGGTGTTATGGAAGACCAGGATGCTTCAATAGCGGCTGTGACGAAAGCCCTGTTTGGACAGACTCAGGGAAACAGCATTTCGTCTATATATTCATGTGTTTGGCTATTTCGTGTATTTGTAAAAGAGCCGAACAAACTCCCGAACCACCCGACCAGGGTCGTGTGCAGCTCATTTACCACCCAGACCTTGTGGTTAACCGCAAGGTAATCGATGAAAGGCTTGGTGGTCCGCGTTCGTTTGCTGAACCCGTGGCGGTCGCCATTTTAAAAT